CCAGCTCTGTTGCCAACCCCTGCTCCGGCCAAAACCCCTCCCCTTCACCGCAGACTCCGCCCACAAAGACGGAATCTCCATTTGCAGCCACGGGTTTTGCGAATACCGACCCTCTATATCACGTCTCCACCGCCGGCGGACTATGAACCCCGCTACAAAACCCCTCTCAGATCACACCACTAAAAACCCCACAAGCAATGCTTACCACCTGCTTGCTCAACGCTCCACTGCATCCCCGCTCGCTACAGAAACACCCCATCAACTGGCAAGCATCGAAAACCTCATCGCAGCTGTACTCCCGACCTTAGACCTCCCCCTCGGCGGTCACCGTTGATGCCTGCAATGCCTCTTCACCGCCGTGGACCCTCGTCGATCAGCTCCCTATCGCCGTCGGCCATTGTCTGCTCCGACCACCTATTCCAGTCCACTAAAGCCCTGCACAGAACCTCCAGCTAGCACTGCCCTCAAGCCCTTCGCTACCCTACCCCCATCGCAGTCGCTGCTGTTGGGTTATTCCCTCCTACTCGGAGGAAGAGCCCAATATTCTAATATGGGCTATTTGCATTGTGTTGTTTTTTCATATGGGTTACTTGTGTCTTGGGCCCATATGATGTTATATATTTGTTATGACCCAACAAGGAGTTGTAAGGGGCTGATTTGAATAAATAGGTGCTGCTGGAAGCTTCTGGGGCAGAGCAGAAAACACCACGAAATAACAGAGTGAAGAGAGAGGCTGAGAACAAAATTTTCTTCTTGGAGCAGTTCTGGTGTTGCCGCTTGATCGAGGGTCAAACGTGCTCTGATTGCAGCCAAATTTTGACACTTTGTTCCTGTCATCTCAAGCTACATATCCAACGGTTGGATTGTCATTTCGAGCTTCCAAAGTCGGTATTTTATTTTCAGCCCTAATCTTCATAAAAATTGTTGATTATCACTTGTGAGTGAAGTTTATGGAGATTTGTTGTTCCAAGGTTGTTCCTTGATGATTATATGTGCCTCTAGTATTATCTAGAGAAGACAATTGGTGTACCCACTTATTTTACTGGTGATTAGTGGAAGAGTTTGGTACCGGCCTCCGGTCCCGTGGTTTTCTCCCCTCATTGGGGTTTCCACGTAAATCCTGGTGTGCTTTATTTATTGTTTCTGGGCTGTTAATACTTGCTTCGTTACTGTCCATATTTGTTTAGATTGAAGATTGGTTGAATTTTCCCATCTGTCAACACAATTGGGAAAGTGTGAACATTTGCTTCTGCTTGCTATTGTGTATTCTGTGTGCACTTTCCATAACATCGTGGTATCAGAGCACGGTTCAGATGGAAGAAAAGAATAGTTTTCCGGGAATGTTTGTGTTGAACTCTAGTAATTACTCAGATTGGAAAATTAAAATGGAAGATATGTTGTATGTGAAAGATCTTTATGAGCCAATCACAAACAAGGAGATACCAACAGGAAAAATTGAGTCCGACTGGAGGATTTTGAACCGGAAAGCAGTTGCAACGATCAGACAGTTTGTTGATGTGAGTGTACTTCAGCATATTGCAAATGACACTAATGCTTATGAGTTGTGGCATAAGCTAGAAGGAATGTATGAGCGGAAAAATGCTCTAAACAAAGCGTCGTTGATGAGAAAGCTTGTGAAGTTGGAGTATAAAGATGTAGATAGCATTGTGGTTCACACCAGCACATTTATGGGCCTAGTAAATCAATTAGCCGCAGCCAAGATGCCTTTAGATGATGAGCTGCAGGCACTGCTACTTCTTTCTTCTTTGCCCGATACTTGGGACACACTTGTCGTGTCTCTTAGCAACTCCGCTCCAGAAGGAAAGTTGACCATGGAATCTGTGAAAGCTAGTCTTCTAAATGAAGAGACAAGAAGAAAGGAAATGGGCTTCTCCAATAAGTCAGAAGCTAATGTGGCGCACGATGACAATAGGGGAAGAAGCAAGAATCGATTTCCCCAAAACAGAGACAAGTCCAGGGGAAGATCTAAGTCCAGATCAGGTAAAATCATTTGCCATTATTGTCATCTTACACTAGCGGAGATTATGGTAGTGTTAGAATGGGAAATGGTGGATCATCCAAGATCATTGGCATGGGTACTGTGTGCTTAGAGAGCTCCACTGGTTGCAAGTTGGTGTTGAGAGATGTTCGACATGTGCCCGACATCAGATTGAGTTTGATCTCCACTGGATTGCTCGATGATGATGGATACTCCAGCCACTTTGTTGATGGAAAATGGAAGCTCTGCAAAGGAAATCTGAGAGTGGTCCAAGCCAAGAAGCAAGGATCCCTTTATGTGATGCAAGCTAAAATTTGTAGAGGCGAGGCAAATGTAGCTGATGATTCTTCTAGCAACCTGTGGCATAAGAGACTTTGTCATATGAGCGAGAAAGGCATGCATTTGCTTTCTAAGAAGCAATATCTCCTGATGTGTCAGGTATGTCCATTAAATCCTGTGTTGATTGTTTAGCTGGAAAACAACATAGGATTGCATTTCATTCTCGCCTCCCATCTAAAAGAAAGTATCCTCTTGATCTTGCTCACACTGATGTTTGTTCTATGGATGCTAAATCACATAGTGGTGCTCAATATTTTGTTTCTTTTATTGATGATTATTCTCGAAAGGTGTGGGTTTTTGTGTTGAAAACAAAAGATCAGGTACTTTCTGCATTCAAGGAGTTCCAGGCTAGAGTTGAAAGAGAAACAGGTCGGAAGCTCAAGGTTGTAAGATCTGATAATGGTGGAGAGTACAGAGGTCCATTTGAGAGCTACTGCAAAAGTCAAGGCATCAAGCTTGAGAAGACAGTTCCAAAGACACCTCAGCTAAATGGAGTTGCAGAGAGAATGAACAGAACAATTGAAGAAAGAATTCGATGCATGCTCTCTCATGCTAAATTGCCAAAGTCATTTGGGCAGAGGCATTGATCACTGCAGTGTATTTGATCAACCTTTCTCCTTCAGTTCCTCTTGATGGTGATGTTCCTCAGAGAGTATGGACGGGGAAAGATGTCTCCTACAAGCACCTGAGAGTTTTTGGATGCAGAGCATTTGTGCATATTCCTAGAGATGAACGATCCAAGCTTGATAAGAAGACAAAGCAGTGCATTTTCTTAGGGTACTCAGAAGATAATTTTGGGTACAAGTTGTGGGATCCAGTTGACAGGAAGGTCATTCGAAGCAGAGATGTTGTATTCTTTGAAGATCAAACCATTGAAGATTTTGAGAAGCCAAAGCAACTAACATCCTCTCAAGCTCCAGTCATCATTGATCCTGTCTTTCCACAAGTCACCCCTAGAGTTGAAGGGGGAGAAGTGCAGCAAGATGGTGACAACAATGCTGATGATGGTGATAATGGTGATGATGAGCAACCTGAAAATGAGCCACATGTTGCAGAGCCACCACCACAACCTCAAGTAAGAAGATCCACCAGAGAAAGACAACCTTCCTCAAGGTACTCATCAAATGATTTTGTGTTATTATCTGATGGGGGAGAACCAGAATGCTACGATGAGGCTATGTCACATGAGCATAGCAAGGAATGGTACAATGCCATGCAAGAAGAGATGAATTCATTGCATGAGAACCACACCTATGATTTGGTGAAGTTGCCTCAAGGTAAGAAAGCACTCAAGAACAAGTGGGTGTACAAGTTGAAGACTGGAGAAGATGGAAAACCACCTAGATACAAGGCATGAATAGTCGTAAAAGGCTGTGAGCAGAAAAAGGGTGTTGATTTTGATGAGATTTTCTCTCCAGTTGTGAAGATGTCTTCAATACGAGTTGTTCTTGGATTGGCTGCCACCTTAGACTTAGAAGTTGAACAACTTGATGTGAAGACAGCATTCCTCCATGGTGATTTAGAGGAGGAAATATACATGGAGCAACCTGAATGTTTCAAGGTCAAGGGAAAAGAGAAACTTGTGTGCCACTTGAAGAAAAGTTTGTATGGTTTGAAGCAAGCACCTCGACAATGGTACAAGAAATTCGAGTCATTCATGATTGATCATGGTTTCCACAAGACACATGCTGATCACTGTGTGTTTGTGAAGAATTTTGCCAAAGGTGATTTACTCATTCTCTTGTTGTATGTTGATGATATGTTGATTGTTGGTCGTGATACCAACAAGATTGTCAATTTGAAGCTTAGTTTGAACAAGTCCTTTGCAATGAAGGACCTTGGCCCTGCAAAACAAATTTTGGGCACGCACATTTCCCATGATAGGAAAAATAAGAAGTTGTGGTTATCACAGGAAAGGTACATCGAGAAGGTGCTGCAAAGATTCAACATGAACAAGGCTAAACCTGTGTGCTCTCCACTTGCAGGAAACATGAATTTGAATTCAAGTCAATGTCCTGCAAGTGATGATGAAAGAAAAGAAATGAAAAATGTGCCTTATGCATCCGCCGTTGGAAGTTTGATGTACATAATGGTATGCACGAGACCGGATATAGCTCATGCTGTTGGGGTTGTTAGCAGGTTCATGTCTAATCCTGGAAAGGAGCATTGGGCAGCAGTGAAGTGGATTCTCAGGTATCTTAGAGGTACTTCTAGAGTGAGCTTATGTTTTGGCCCGGGACAACCTGTGTTGGATGGCTACACAGATGCAGATATGTCGGGTGATTTTGATTCTAGCAAGTCTACTTCTGGATACTTGATGACATTTGCAGGGGGAGCTGTATCATGGCAATCAAAACTGCAAAAGTGTGTTGCTCTTTCGACCACCGAGGCCGAGTATATGGCGGCCGTTGAAGCAGGTAAGGAGATAATATGGATGAGAGATTTTCTTGAGGAGTTAGGTTTGGAGCAAGAAAAATACCTACTCCACTGTGATAGTCAAAGTGCCATCCACCTTGCCAAGAATGCTACCTATCATTCACGGACCAAGCACATTCGGAGAAGATATCATTGGATTCGGGAAGCGATAGAAGAAAAGTCAATTGAGCTAGTGAAGATCCATACTAACAAAAATGCTGGAAGCTTCTGGGGCAGAGCAGAAAACACCACGAAATAACAGAGTGAAGAGAGAGGCTGAGAACAGAATTTTCTTCTTGGAGCAGTTCTGGTGTTGCCGCTTGATTGAGGGTCAAACGTGCTCTGATTGTAGCCAAATTTTGACACTTTGTTCCTGTCATCCCAAGCTACATATCCAACGGTTGGATTGTCATTTCGAGCTTCCAAAGTCGGTATTTTATTTTCAGCCCTAATCTTCATAAAAATTGTTGATTATCACTTGTGAGTGAAGTTTATGGAGATTTGTTGTTCCAAGGTTGTTCCTTGATGATTATATGTGCCTCTAGTATTATCTAGAGAAGACAATTGGTGTACCCACTTATTTTACTGGTGATTAGTGGAAGAGTTTGGTACCGGCCTCCGGTCCCATGGTTTTCTCCCCTCATTGGGGTTTCCACGTAAATCCTGGTGTGCTTTATTTATTGTTTCTGGGCTGTTAATACTTGCTTCGTTACTGTCCATATTTGTTTAGATTGAAGATTGGTTGAATTTTCCCATCTGTCAACACAATTGGGAAAGTGTGAACATTTGCTTCTGCTTGCTATTGTGTATTCTGTGTGCACTTTCCATAACAGCTGCCCTAGCTCTGTCGCCGCCCAGCCCACCGCCACGTAGACCTCAACCGCACCCGCTTGCCTATCCCACTCCGCATCACCCACCGCAGCCCCACCACTGCCCCCCATCACAATAGTTGTAATATGCGAAAACAACGCTGCAGTTCCGTACGCCCACCGCTGGCTTGTCCTAATTAATGCCTCGTCCGATTTCCAAACTCCACACATGTAACTGTTCAACCAAATTCCATAGCCATGCTGCAGGCCCAAGTCTCACCTGCCTCGCATTGCGGGCAACACAAGCATCCCATACTCCCCTGCTACGCGTCTGCCTACAATCTCCTACTCCACCCATTCCGAAAATAGCACCACCTGCAGGTCAAGCACCACC